TAACAAGGTGTCTTTATATTACATCCCACATTTTATCTTTGTAGCAAATAATACTCATTTAAAAGGATTGTTAAATGATGATAAGTACTAAAAATATTACTAAAAATATTACTAAATGATAAGAAATTAATACATGAAAGACTGAGAATCATAGTGGTACTCAATATTGAAATCAGAAAGTATAAAAAGAAGAATGTTATAAATAACTAAATATGAATTTCTCTAAAAATAATTTCCACTATGATTCTTCACTATGAATCTAATTATAAAAATATGAGAATAAATACATAATGATGTGAAAATAGTATTTCTCAGTCATCTCACATCCAATTTTACACATAATTCCTCCATAATCTATCTCCATGTTATCTACGAATTCCAATAGCGATTAATTTGGATCCGTTAAAATTTACGATCATTTTGTTCGGTTTGTATGTTTCAGATGGTGAGTATTCGAGACGCAGTAGTAGATGACGCGATTCCGTGATTTCACAGGAGAATTACAATGTTCAGGTAAACGTTATCACGAAACGAATTTTCCACTTTAGTTTTCACCGATGAATAGGTTATCGAGGCCGTCGAAGATTAACTTTTCAAATACCGTCCGCAGAAATGAATTTTATCAGGGACGCGTTGAACCCCTAACAAATGGTATTACGTTCCCCTCGGTTATCTGATCAACATAACTCAGTGCGGCTAGTGACCACCGTAACACGATACACTGACCAGAACAATGCATGCGTTCACGGCGGTTACAACCTTTGATAATTACGATATATCGATCGTTTTAAATGAATTTAACCAAAGAAATACACAATTAAATTGATCGATGGAAATTAATGTATTGCTGAATACGTTTCGTCCCGATATATTTTACATAACAATATCGATAAGTGGATTGATCATTAGCGATATTAATAGACATATCAATATTCAGCAGTATAGATTTATATACTTGTAATTTACCTTTCCTCTCAACCATTACAAAATGGTTTAAAAGAAAAAAACTATATCATTTGGATTAGAAAAAAAAAAGAAATATTAATTTTAAATTATAAATTTATCTTTACAGGGATGAAGGAGTCGAGTCGTTTCTAATTCTGTTCTTTGGAAGGATTACGATTAATTAAGCTTCAAATCATCTTTTAAGTCTACAAGTTCTCACGTACTTTATCTGAAATAAATAATAATACAGAAGTGTTCTTAAACTTGACAAGAAAATTAATAAATAATTTACCTACACTATATCTAAAAAATCTAAATATGTAGAAAATGGAAATCAACGGAGAATAATAATATTAATCTTTTTCCACCCCTTCCACTCCTTCCACCTCCGAGGTTATCGATTTTCCCCTCGGTATTCTCGAGCCATCTCGATAAATCGTCATCAACCACGCGTGTAAACATTCTCACAGCTCGAGAAGTAATTGATAGGATAGGAAACTCGGCTCGATCCCAATGTCTCGCGATTTTCGTACGCGCCGATGATTGATAATAATCAAGCGGGTTAGCCGGGCCGAATTCGTCGGTTACAGAGGAGGGATTACTCAGGTGGCCGGTGCCGGTTGATCAAAGCGGGGGATTCCCGGCGAAATACTCTAATTGGCGCGTGCATGCTTTGCCCGGGGAATTTGATTTGCTTTCCGTTTGACGGAGGTCCGCAGATTGACCCTGACGATATTGCGATCAACCACCCCCTCCCTCCACCCTTTCTGGTGTGCAACCTCCGGATCAGAGAAGATGCGGAGGCAATCTGAGGTCTGTGCACTCGCGGCCTGGCTGCATATATGAATACCAACGGTGGAGGAAGTTTATTGGGAAGTAATGGGGGAAGGATGGGATTAGCCGGGGCCAGTAGTCAGTTGGATGGGTAGTTAATCTTAGACTGCCTTAGCCGCACGGGTTATCGGCTGGTAAACAGGAAAACAGTTTATATTTGCCCGCTTCTATTTGCGAAACCTCGAATTAGGGAGGGATAATGTCGATATCGATTTCAGATCATCGGCGATAATCAGGGAATTCTTCTTCGGGGCGAAGTTGTGTAATCCGAAACTGAACTTTCCGTACGAGTTTAATGGAAATTCATCCAATTTTGTAAAAATGTAATACAATGTATTTAAATTTTTACGTTGAATAAAAATGTAATCTCTAATTATTTATTTACCTGCACTGCTTACCTCGAATAAAATATCATATACATTTGTTCTCCTTCCTTCTGAATTTCTGAATCCAAATTCTCTACTACTACGAAAACTAGGTCGCCCTAATTTACAATCGTGCAAAGAGCAATGTATCCATGGCCGAATTTAATCAAACGAAATTGAATAGAGTTCCTATTCTATTCGTGAAAAATTTCAACGTCACTGAATCATCCATATATTCATAAAACTTGTTAATAATTCGATCTCCATCATGATCTTTAACATTTTCATCCCTCATGCACTCATGCAACAGTATCTTTCATCTATCGAACACGAAATACTTTCCACATCTTCACAACACACGCTATTGATAATCGATACAAAAATTTCGAAAACGAATTGGAAGCCGCGTACACTCCAAGTTTTCGCCAAGTATGAACGCGCAGGAGGGAGGGGGCGCATCTTCGAGGATGCGTGTTAACCGCGGTTCGACGAGGACGGATAAGCCATCAGTGTCAGTTTCAGAGATCTGAAAGCGTCCACTCGACAGTTACGTTAAAACCGGTTGATATCTATCGCCCTGGCCAGCCGAATCTCCTGTCAGGACTTTGTGATCCCCATCACGAGAGTCATACACGTCATACACACCGGGCCTGGTCCGTTTCGCAGATAACTCGTATCCATCTATATTAATTCTCGGCGGTTGGTGTGCATCCCTCGGAAATTAAACGCCGTCTTTGCGCCCCGGCGTGCCTCTCGTTCTCATCGATCCCCAACACCGGACCCTTTATCCGGACCTTTGCCATAATTACGATACATCTTGGACATGTTGTTATTAGCAGAGGGTGACCAATAGGATTCGACTTGTTCGCTTCGATGGGTGGAAAAAATCAATGAGGATGCTTCCTCTTGGTTTCTTTCTTTTTTTTTTCTTATGTTAAAACAGTATAAAGTTGTAATAAAATTATACAAAAATAACGTTGGATCACTCGGAAGGTGTCTCGTGGACGTATCGAACTCTCGATTTTATCGTACAAATACTGTTAATTTCACTATTATTACATCATATACTCGTGGAATGGAAAATTCATTCTTTCATCCTCGAATTTAATAATTGAATAACACTCGAATGCTTGGCCAGGCGAGGGAACTCGAAATTGTTAATAATACAACCACATCGATAAATCGATGCATCGACGAACGCGTTGTGTTCATTCATCACGGAGTGCGTCTGTAAAACAGTGATTCAATCGACCGATAAAGGTTTAATACACGAGCAACAAGAATATAACGAGTATACAGAGAGGGAGGGGGGGTAGTATTCGCTAATAAAGTTAAATTCGGCCGAACCATCGGCAACTGTACGCCTCGTTACGTAAACTTTCGTTCGTTAACTTACGAAAAAAAGAAACTTGGTCGGTTTTTTCGTTTCAATTTTTACACCTGCTCGTAACGTCAACGTTTCTCGAAAAAAAGAGAAGGGAAAGAAAGAGGAAGAGAGGGGAAAAAGCGCGTTGTAAAAGAGTAACACAAGTTTTTTGCCAAGTTTTTTCACAGAGGAAGAGAAGAAAAAACTATAAACTTTTCTGTTTGGTCTTCCTCCCCCCTTTTCTTCTCTTTTTTCATTCCCCGCCACTTATCGATACATTCGTCACATTCACGCGATTGAAAATAATTTTGCACCGTTTTCACAGACAGCGTCTCGCGTGACTTTATCCGCCGACTGTTATCGTATCCACGAAGCTTATCACTATCATTATTATTACATGTGGTCTGGAATTTTCGATCGAAATACTTGAAATGACGCGGAAAAGGTCGTGGCTTCTATCGTGACTCGACGAGAGGTTTCCCTTCCGATTGCCGGCCATCTCCCGATATCGCGAGTCGTTTTGCACGCCACACGGCTCGCGTGCGATTATGCCGCTTCTTGGAATCGTTCTTCCATGGT